GCAGCCATCATGAAAACACAAACTGATCGTAGACCTACATGTTGGGCGATCTATGATGGCACCTCATGTGATTCATGTTTTCATCAGACTCTGTCACTAGATTGTAAGGCATGTGAGGGCATGTTGTGCTCTGCTTTCTTCAGAGACCAAATGTGGGGAGCAACCGGACTAGACTAAGTTACTGGAATTAAGACTTATTCTATGCATCTGCTCTCCCACAATATGGCGCTGGGAGAGAAGTAAACAGCTTCCGCACAGCTGCCTCCAGTTCAACCAATTAACTGTAGGACTTGCTCCTGATTGGAGAGCAGCGTACTCGGCGTGTGGGCAGCCGAGTTGGGATTGGCGGAGGAGGACTATAAAGGAGGAGAGAGACGGCATGCACCAGGAACATCTATGGGGAACATCTAAGGGAACCCGTGCAGCCCCCGAGAGAACCGGCCGGCGGTGTGCCGCTCCCCTGCGGAAGTGGGGAATGCGGCCAGGGGGAACTGCCCTTCCACGGAGGTGGAAGGGATAGTAGCCAACCCGGGAAGAACCAGCAGCAAACCCGGGGAGGGCCGAGCAGACGAAAGAACAGCGCAGGGTCTTGTGTCGTTCCTCCACGAAGACGGGGAGCGACAACCAAATCATCAGAGACGCTCAGTACACACACACACACACACACACAGGTTTCAGTGAGTGACTGAATAAATAATTAATCATTCTAATTGTTAGATGCCTGGGACATCAAAGAAAGGACAGTGAGGGTGAAAGGTCAGGTCTTGCCCAAAGCATCTTTTGTCTTTTTGTTTTGTTTTGTTTTGTTTTTCACTTTCCAGTCAAGCCAATTCCCAAAATCCATAGCCATCCTATTTTTGGTTGTTCTTAGTTTTATGTTCTATTCTATTTGAAAGTTCCAAGATAAAATAATCTGTGGCAGATTGTTCTTAATTTTATTTTAGAAAATACAACAAATGTTCACATTTTCTATTTAATTAGGCCTATACTTCTTTTAGCCATACTTAGTTGGAACTAAAACAGCTGGGACATGAGTAACCCCATGGAGATGTAGAAATTTCCTCAACTGTGACTTAACTAAAGAATGCAGCAACATTCCTATGAGAATCCATCCCACTTGGGATAGAGGAGAAAAAGGACTTATTTCAAATCTGTGCCCCACTGGGAGCTGGTGCTGTGGCTTAGCAGATAAAGCCACTGTCTGCAGTGCTGGCATCCCATTTGGGCGCTGGGTTGAGTGCCGCTCCATTTTCAATCCAGCTCTCGGCTATGGCCTGGGAAAGCAGTAGAAGATGGCTCAAGAGCTTGGGCTCCAGCACCCTAATGGGAGACCTGGATTTAGAAGCTCCTGGCTCCTGGCTTCAGATAGGCCCAGCTCCAGCCATTGTGACCATTTGGGGTGTGAACCAATGGATGAAAGATCTCTTTCTCCCTCTCTCTGCCTCTGCTCCTCTGTAACTCTTTCAAATAAATAAATAAATATTTAACAAAAGTTTGTCCCACTAATTTACCACTTATTGTAAGATGAAAACCTTTTCCTTTCCTTCCTTTTTTCCTTCCTTCCTCCCTCCTGTGTTTCTCTCCCCTCCCTTCCCCTTCCTTTCTTTTCTCTTTCTTTCTTTCTTTCATGGATCCATCTCTCTGTCTGTTCATCTATGTATCATCATCATCTCTCTACACACAAACACACAGCCAGTCACATACATAATAAATAAGCTGGTTATTAGTCTGAGTCCTGGATCTACTTCTTAACAACCATGTGACCTAGGACAAGTTACTTTCCTTCTCATCTTTTCTTCTTGGGTGCACTGAAATTCTACTCAGAGAGGTATGGACCTACTTATACTCAGGAGCCAATGCATGAAAATCTCAGCACAGTTTTTGGCTCAGTGTAAGCAGGTAGTACATGCTGATTACTGATTAATGTTATTGTCATTCTATAGTCTTCAACTGAATAGTGTAGAACAAATGTTCCTCAACCCTAGGAGTGCTGCCACTCGGGGCTGGATAATTCTTCGTGCATTTGGGTCATGTGGGGTGTTTGCAGCATTCCTGGCCTCTCTGAATACATGCCAGTAGCACCCCCTGGCTCCACCTGGTTGTGATAAGCAAAGTATCTCCAGACACTGCCAAATGTTCCCTGCCTCTGGTTGAGAACCACCAGTGTAGAACAAACAGACGTCCTAGAGATAGGAGACCTGGTTCCTGTTAAGGAAGCTGCAACCTTAGGTAAATCTATCAACCCCCTGGGCTGTGGTTTTATGATATGGTAAAATAGTCCTGGGCATTTCTGCTTTATCTTCCATGGGTTTTGTAAGGAAGAAATAGAGAAAAAAATGAAACGCTCTAAAGTAGTTATAGAAACAGGATTCCATGGATTGTGCCGCTAGAGGTGGGCTGCTGAGGGGCGACCCCAAGAAGCCTTGCCTGGGACAACAGCTGATGCTGCCCCGCGCTCCTGGGAGTCTCACACCAGGGAGCCACTCCCCGCCCAGCAGCTTCTTATCGATTCTGTGTCAAGGAGTCCCCTGGCCTGTAATGGATGTGTCCATGGCTTGGCTTGCAGAATGCAAGAGGAACTGTTTCCTTTCAAAAATGAAATGTTCTTTTTAAAAATTGTAAGTGGTGAAAACTGCCCTGTCATCTGTAGATTCAACTTTCTTCTAAATTTATTGCTCGTATGTCTAGAACCAGTCCTCAAAATTTCAGCTGTGTCTTCTGCAGATTGATATTCAGAAAGAAATGTCCTGTGGGTTTCCAATATCACTATACTGAATAATACTATAATACTATACTGACACATGATAGGTTTTTTTTTTTCATTAGCAAGGGAACATTTATTGATGTTATATCACATAGTGGGAACCAGCATGGTAGAATCCAGAGGTGGGGCCTATTGCTGTTCTTGGATTTATTTTTGAAAAACCTTTAAATGAGAGGTAGCGGAGTGTCTGGTAAAAAAGTCAGAGCTGTATGTAGACAGATGAGGTTCAGGGTCCAACCCCATAAATGTGTAAAGCACCACACATCCTGCAAGTGCGTGGTAGCTGTCCTCTAGACATAGGTGGGCTCTTTCCTTCCACACCCTCTGAAAGACTTCTCAAGGTCTCCTTTTATCCCCCAGAGCTTGTTTAGTATGCACGTTTCGAAGGATCATTGAAAGGACAACCAATACTTTTTAAGTAAAATCTCTAGTCTTTTTTTTTTAAAAAAAACATTATAGTCTTAAACTAAGTGGAATAGAGGTTGAATCCTTGAATCACAAGATCAAATTATTTTCCAGTTTATGAGCAAATTACCTTCTGATTTCCAGTGGGCATTAGTTGGAAAGTAAGGGTCGGAAGTTACCTAAAGGACAATGGCATTGATCCAGGATGGAGTAAACAAAGCATTTCTTTTCCTTCCTTAAAACAATTCACATGGATTCCTTAAGAACACATACTGCGCCGTGGCTCAATAGGCTAATCCTCCGCCTTGCAGCGCCGGCACACCGGGTTCTAGTCCCGGTAGGGGCACCGGATTCTGTCCCGGTTGCCCCTCTTCCAGGCCAGCTCTCTGCTGTGGCCCGGGAGTGCAGTGGAGGATGGCCCAAGTGCTTGGGCCCTGCACCCCATGGGAGACCAGGATAAGCACCTGGCTCCTGCCATCGGATCAGCGCGGTGCGCCAGCTGCGGTGGCCATTGGTTCTGCTAGCTGGGTGACTTTGGGGTTTTCTGTGCCTCAGCTTCTTCATCAGCAAAAGCAAAGTTAGTGCTACCCATCACAGAGCGAGGATGAGTATAAATAAACCTATGAAAATGCCTAAACCAAGCCCTGTGTGTGGTAATGCTTGGTAATGTTGCTTTATCCCAGGTTCTTTGCAGATCTTGTATCTTATGATTGAGAAGAAAGGATGGGACAACTAAGCAAATGATTGCAACCTACATTATGTTTCTATCCTTCTCTTATCAATGTGGAATCTAATGTGGAAAAAAGTAAAAAAGAAAAGAAAATCAAGTGCAAGCCATTGAAAAGACACAGAATTTGTGTGGAAGTTATCAGTTGTGGCACAGCAAGTTAGATATTATCCTGCACATGCAAGTATTTCAAGGTCTGGCCACACAAAAGCCATGTGGTCAACGTTCTTAAATTTGGCATGTTCCACCATCTGCAAAACCATTTTGTGACAAAAGACACTATGATAACAGGTAACACAGAAGAATGAAATGATAGAATAACAGTTTCTGGAATTTTCATCACTAAGATTATTCTTAATATTTTTAATGATTTTCCTAACGACCCCTTCAGTATGCTTAGCTCTTTTTTGTCCCTAACAATTGTGCCAGCTTCCACTGTATCATTCATACTGCACTGTAATTGACATGCTTCAAAATCATAAACCAAAGGTTTTTCTTTTAATCTCCCTACTGCATTGTGGATTCTCAAATAATAGTTGCTGGGGCTGGTGCTATGGGGTAATGGCCAAGTCTCTGTCTGCAGCTCTGGCATCCAGCATGGGCACTGGTGCCTGTGCTCGCTGCTCCTTTTCTGATCAACGGGTGGGACGAAGAACACAGCCTATCCACAGTTTGCCCCGGATGACTGAGTCGTGGCTGTAGTTTCATTCTGCCTGTGGGTGTTCATGAGGACATATTTTCTGCTTCCAAATTACCTATTATGCTCAAAAGGTACCCTTGCACTTGGACCATGAGGAGTACCACCTTTTTCTGTAGGAATGATTGTGATAAGCTGTCTCAACTGTGTCTCTGAAGAGCTGGGTCCCTGCTTTATTCACTACTAGTGAAATGGCTGCAGGCACAAGAGTGGCTCAGGCCTTGATGGGTTCTGGTGCCCCACAGGTGTTTTATGTAGAAATGCAAGGCTTATCTGCCCTAGAACAGCTTGAGATCAGATGCGCACTATCAATCTCCTTGGGCCCCCTTTCAAGGATTGTCCTAAGTGAAGGGGAAGGGCGATCTTAAAGGTGATTGAAACCATTAGGAGCAATGACTTCTATTTACCACATGCTGGGATGTCACACAGGTCAGACTTGAAGTTTTCATCCAAGGTGAAGCACCAGGGAGCTTCTTTCTGGTTCCCTGGGTTGCGGCAGTAGGAATGGCCTCCATTCAGCTCTGGGAAGCGGAGAGCAGTGAAGGTGTGCGTGTGGGGGTACTGAGAATTCCAGGGCTGGCACTGGCGCCCTGATTTCGTCACACTGACAGTCCCCCGGTAGTCCACACCTGTGCTGTTATAGCACTTGTGATCTGAAAAAACACAGAAGAAAAGGCCAACCATTAGAAAGGAACAGATGAGATGCTGGACCTCGCAGCCAGCAGTTGGGGGTGGAGGGAGGAGAATGCAATTAACCTCGTGACCAAGGCTTCCCGCGGTCAGGGGCCATGCAGGGCAGTCTTCCTGCTTGCTGGGCTGGGACCCAGGACCTGCCTTGCAGTCACATTCCTGGGAGGATTTAAAGCTCATGCTTCAGGGATAAAACCAGTCTTCCACCAGCATTTTCAATACTGAACACAGAAGAAATCAGAACTGGGGTGGGGGCTGGGGGCACAGGAGTAACTTCCTAGTGAACGGTTCAAGGAAGGTTCAAGCCAAATTTTCCCTTTCTTCTGATTGATGGCCTTAGACGTGAATCATGTGATAAAGAATCTAGTTGGTAATTCACAGAAAATGCTTATCGAGGGCAGTGCATTCTGGATTCTACGAGGCCTTAGGCCTATCTCTATGGGATGAAGTAGCCACTCTAGAGAAACAGGTCCTATTAAGTTGGCCCTCATAGGTGACCACAGGGGCTGTAACTTGGAAGCACTGAAGGACCTACTGAATTGAAAGGAATTGGAATCTGGAGAGGTAACACTAAAACAGTCATAATCATGATATTGAGATCTTACTATCTGCTAAGTATGGTTCTAAGTGTTTAAGGTGCATTGGTTTTTTTAAACTAATAAACCAGTATTAAGTACCAAAAGGAAACCAAAAAATTCCCAGGGAATTTAATTCTAGATGAAAAGGAAATGTTTTGCTTTGTGGTGATGAGAAGACAGCTGCAGGCCTCCATATACATTTATTTCAACTTGTAGTGCGATACACTTACCATGAAATTTATCACTGGGGCATTTAGTCCATTATCAAGGTTGTGTAATCATCACCACTGTTTGGTTCCAGAATACTTACATCACACCAAAAGGAAACCCCTCATCCATTAATCTGCTATTTCCCACTACCTCTGGCCCCTGTCCCTAACAACCACAGAGTTACAGAGAGAGAGAGAGAAAGAGATAGAGAGAGGTCTTCCATCTGCTGGTTCACTCCCCAAATGGCCGCAATGGCTGGGGCTGGACCAGGTGAAAGCCAGGGGCCAGAAGATTCTTCTGGGTCTCTCCATGTGGGTGCAGGGGCCCAAGCACTTGGGCCATCTTCTACTGCTTTCCCAGGCACAGTAGTAGAGAGCTGGATCAGAAGTGGAGCAGCTGGGACAGGAGCTGGTGCTGCAGGCTGTGGCTTAACCTATTATACCACAGCACCGGCCCTCTACTTTCCACTTCTATGGATTTACCTACTCTGGATTTTTTTTCATACAAATAGAAATTTTTTCATATAAAAACATCTGGCTCTTTAGTATGTTTTCAAGTTTCATCCAGGTTGTAGCATGCATCTGTATTTCAGTTCTTTTTTTTTTTTTTTTTTTTTTGACAGGCAGAGTGGACAGTGAGAGAGAGAGACAGAGAGAAAGGTCTTCCTTTTGCCGTTGGTTCACCCTCCAATGGCCGCCGCGGCCGGCGCGCTGCGGCCGGCGCACCACACCGATCCGATGGCAGGAGCCAGGAGCCAGGTGCCTTTCCTGGTCTCCCATGGGGTGCAGGGCCCAAGCACCTGGGCCATCCTCCACTGCACTCCCGGGCCACAGCAGAGGGCTGGCCTGGAAGAGGGGCAACCGGGACAGAATCCGGCGCCCCGACCGGGACTAGAACCCGGTGTGCCGGCGCCGCTAGGCGGAGGATTAGCCTAGTGAGCCGCGGCGCCGGCCCTGTATTTCAGTTCTTTTTATGGACAAGTAATATTTTACTGTGTGGATATGCCACACTTGTTTATCCACTTATTCAGACAGACATTTGAATCACTTCCACCTTTGGCTACCATGAACACTGCTGTTACAAACATTCTCTACTGGGTTTTTGTCCAGACACTGTTTTCAATTTTTTTTTTTATTCTATCCCCAGGAATGGAGTCGCTAGGTCAATGGCTGGTTCGTTCTATGTTTATGCTACTGAGCACCTGGCCCCTATATCTTCAAATTATTGTCTTCATGAAGCTTCCTGAAGGTGCTGGTATCTGATCTCCTATCAAACGCTCATGCACAGTGGCTAACCCACTAGAAAGTAGTCTACTAACGTGAATAATGGCTGCAGGTCAAGGTCCAGGCCAGTTCTGCGCTGTGCCCCAGGGATGCTGGCCCTGAGGGCAGCACAGAAGTTCGGGGGCTCCTGCTTACTTTTATTTATAGGATCTGCCATAGGGATTCCAATCCGGATGCAGCTGGCAGCTTCCGGGCTTTCGGGCTGGGGGAGATCTTCACAGTTGGGCAGCTTGAGCCTCATGAGAATCATGGGATTGGACCTTGCAAAGATGTACTCCGTCTGACACAGGACGTTCTCCAGGATTTCACACTCATCGCGACACAGGTCGCGCGGCTTTGGGACAGCGGAGGTCTCGTCACAGTAGGGGAAGGCGTAGTGGCACAGGGAGGGAATGGCGAACTGAGAGCACTTATCCGACAAGTGACTGGAGGTGCCAATCATGGTGAAGGCAGCTGAAAAACAAACACGATTATTAACTCCGGGAGGCCAGGGTTTATCTTCCCCGGTTATCTAGTCAACAGAGACCAGATCTAAACACACACGGGGCTGGAATCTGCCGTGCTGAAACACAACGCCCGGAGAAGGAGATTCATTTCAGATGTCTACGCAGCTTCCTTTCGCTGGCTTGGAAAAAAAAAAAATCCTTTTGACTACAAAGCTAAAACAAACAACAACAACAAAAGGATGAAATTACATATGTACCATTTCCTAATAAAAAGAATTAATTGGGTTAAAGTACAATCTATTCTTCATTTTTTACTACAAAGCAATAGAACTTTGTGCTTCATCCGGTATGTTTTATTAGTTTTGTGAGGCTTCTAAAACATGACAGCTCCAGGGCAGAACTTGCTCTGTGCGGCGGCTGGGCCTGGGCGCGGGATTTAGTTCTGTGTCTTACCAGATGGTGAGAGCTGACGCATGGATTTGGGTTAACGTGCTCAATTTCTTTGTGGCTTGGATACTCTAAGCCCATCTTCTGAAAGCAAGGCAACTCCCTTGCAAATTCTCCAAGAGCATGCTTCGATTGTTCCAGCGTGCATCATAGACTCTGGGTGGCTCTTTAGCTTAGCTTCATATCTAGTAGGGTCTCCGTGAACAAAAACATCACAGGGCAGCCTGGGATACCTCAGCAGACAGGAGCTCACAAGGCGGCCTGTGACATCACCGATACTCTGCTTCCCAAAGTAGGTTCCTCCGAACTTCAATCCCATTCGAGAAACCACGACTACACAGCCAAACAAATTTGGGAAATGCTGGGTTAAAACGTTAAATAGATTTTTAAAAAATCATAATATTTTCCTATAAGCTGATGCCCACTGACAATCTCCAAGCGCATATTACTGAATGTATAAGAGCTCCTATGTATTTTTGTGACTACTTAGCTTATGCTAGAATTCTTATATTAGGTCAAAATGTGCCTTCTCCTCCCCATCACTCTGACTTCTGTTGTTCGGCATTTTAGAATCCTCTTCCTCTTGAAAGCTTGAAGACTTTAGCCAGTGACAACCACACGTGCCTGTGGCTGCTTCTCCCGGTGAAACAGCCCCCCTCCCCCCAGCCTCCTCGCAGTCCCTTCAAATTCCTCACAGGACATGGCAGGAGAACGTTGCAAAGTTCATGGAAACGGAATGAACAGTTGTTTATTTTGGTGCAAACATGTTGTGAACTCCATGCATACTGGGGGTACTGAAAACGTATACAGAGGATGCATGTTACGGAACAACTAGGCATAGATTTCAAATTTTTTGGTAACAATAAATTTATCTTTTAATTCCAGTTTCCACAAACTTTTGAAGCATTCTTGTCATTTCTGGACCTTTTCTGTTCTGTGTTCTGGCCTCGAGTTTGTTTCTGCCTCTCAAATCCTGGGGTTGACAGATAAACTATAAGACCAAGGTTACATTTGCATTTCAGATACACATTCAGGACATACGTATCCTAAAATGTTATTCGTTTTCTGAAATTCATATGCAACTCGTTACCCTGTACTTTTATTTGCTACGTCCGTAGGTATACCAGCCACTGTGACGGAAGGGCCACGAGGCTGCTGTAGCCACCAGAACTAGGTGTGCAAAACTGCACAAGGTGACTTACACCACTGTCTCTCACGTGTGCCAGACAGTGCTTCACTGTTCATCTCCATCAGAGGAGCCTTCCGAGGACGAAAAACGAAGGGTCCGGTGGTGGACGCTGTGGCAGGAGGAGACCTGTGGTCATCTGTTTCCTCACTCGTCTCGCAGATGGCGATTTTCACGGAGAGTGAGCAGGGTCCCCCACTCCGACGATGGCTCTGGGGTTAGTGTCCGGCGCTCTGGACTCTACACGCAGTTCCTTTCCACCCACATCATGTTGCTTTCTTCCCAATCATAAGCTGTGTGAGGGCAGAGAGCTACCTGGACACCCTCGTATCCCCGGCGCCCAGCTCAGTTCCTGGTGTGCTGAGAGCACTCACTAATATTTATTGAGTGTTAGAATGAATGTGAGACTCCTCAAAGCTTCCTTTTCCTCTCAGAGCAACTTGCAATAAATTATTTTAATGTAGATTCCAGAGCTCAGAGATCATGTCTGATGCCTCTTTATGTTCCTCCTCCCGCCCCCCAAACCTAGCCTCATCCTTAGTCAAGAAAGGAGCTTGATAAACCTTTTGGTGAGAAAAAGAGTAATTTAAGGGACAAAAATCGTTTCATTGGTGTTACCTACCCGTGATCTGATTTTCTATTTCTCCTTGCATGTGCAAAGACTCCATATAGACGGTGCGGTTGCCAATAAATCTTGCACACGCTATGCCTCTGTATGGCTGGCAGAATCCATCTTCTTCGTACTCGTCTCTAGAAACAAAGCATGACCGTTAGCCGATGCGCCACATACGCTCGGGGAGCTCTACCTGCGCGATGCCCACATAGTCACTAGGGGGCGCAGTCGCGCACAGTATCTGAAAGACCCCGCGAAGGAGCCAGGCTTTCCGCTCTGTTCTTCAAACATCACTTAAAACATCTGTTGGTCACGTTGGTCAAGTTTCCTACATCTCTAGAAAATCATCCCGAAGCACAAAATCATCCTGAACTATGGGAGAAAATGCTTTTATTTTCGCAGCTGGTGGTGGGCTGAAAGCTGATGTCGTTATAAGAGGAAAGAGTCGGGAATCTGGGCACATGTTCTACAGTTTTTTTGTTTTTTAAGCACAGATTATTTCTGCTTCATTTGCTACAAAGGCGTGGGTGCATGAGCCACAAGACCCACTCCAACTGACATGTCAATTAGGGGGACCCACAGGGCACGGAGCTAGGTGCAGCTGGAAAGAAACCAGAGAACAGCTCTGCTGGGAGTCTCCTCGCTGCCTCAGACGCTCTCTCTCTGGAGGAGAGGGCCGGGGACAAACCACGGACTGGAGAATCTCAAATGAGTCACTGGACCCAAGGCAATCTAGAGAAAATGTCAGGGGAACTCTTGCTTTCATGCTCCCCTAACGTTTGGAAATTTTACAACATAGTCTTACTTCAAAAATGGGGGGCTGGGGGGGAGTGCTGGGGGGTAGGCTTTTACCATGAAGATGAAGGGACAACAGAAAGTGACACGAGTCGTTACATAGTGGCAAGCGATCAGACCGGAGACAAGGTTCACCTTGGAGGCAGGTTCACCTTGAGAGGACAGAGGACACCCCCATGCCCCAGAGGACGGAGCATCCAGCTGCAGCCAAGGCTGCTGCCCAGGTTTATGCCTCGACCTCTCCCCCGGATGCTCCTTCTCTGTTCACCAGGCTGCGATCAATACATCATCTCAACAAAATATCCTTTCTCCTCTTTGGTTTCTGCTAGGCTAAAATAACTCAGAGCAAAAGGCAGAAGAACAAAGTGTCTTCCTGGGTCTAAGAGGCGGGCATCCGTAGGCAAGCTGTCTGTGCAGTCTGAGCCATGGTTTTATCTCCCAGATGGAGATCACAATGGATTGGCTACTCTCCACTGCGGGTGGAAGTCATGACGATCCCATCAGACCATGAAAAAGATTTCGAAATCACAAGCTACTGTATGATTATCATGAAAGTATTTGCAATTACCAAGGAGGACATGTATTTGAAAGAGATTCACTAAGCTCTTGCTTTGTTAAGTGGGCTCTGGTCAATGCCACGGTGCTGGACTTCCCCACTTGGGGGTTCAGTGCAAGAGACTAGAAAGCTTGAGATGGCAGCAAACCAAGTGAACGAAACAATCTGAGAGCACGCTTACGTTCCGTGGCGCCCCTCTCCCCATTCACCCAAGCAGTCATGGGAGGTGGAGGTGGGGCAGTATCTTGGGTTAGCCCCCCAAAATAGTTTGTACTGCAAAGCTCTTAAGATCTTAACCTTTCAGTACACGTACAAATGAATATATCATATACCTGACATAAAGACATTGAAATTTTAATGTTGCACAATCCTGCAAGCACTCCACATGTTTACTTTCATAAATCCTGGAGTAATGCTGAAGCCTTTTTGGCTTAAATTTTACTTGGGTTGTAAAATTAACCCAACTTTTATTGGGTAACTAATACCATAAACCTATGGGGAGAAAGAAGGTTCTCGATGACCTCGCCTTGATCGTGGAAACCTAAGTACAGAGACGAGCATGCACCCCCACGCTACCCCATTGCTATTTCAGACGATGATTTTCTATCCCGAGGCATTAGCAGACCCCTGGAATTTTAAGGTGTCATTATGAGAACACTCCTTCCTCCCCCACATTAAACTCGCAAGACCTCAATTTATATCTCTTGGGAGGACAAAACCCTGGAATTACCCCAGATATAAATCCCCAATCTACTGGGAGTTCCCATATTTTATGTGTGAGGCTTAGGCTAAACTTCTTACCACCTTTCCAGTTGGAGACCCTTAAAAAAGACTCTTTGAGTACCTTTTTTTTCCCCCTGGACTGTATGGAATGCAATTCCTCAGCTGCCCATTTCTTATCAAGGGCTTAGAGCTGCAGGTGTACTGACTTTTCCACCATGCCCGAATTCCCGCAATTCTGGCCACTCTCCTTGGGGACAGATACAAACAACATGGAACAGTATGGTCATGTCATCTGCTGGGAGTCATTCTCATAGAGCATCTCTTCAGGACACTGTGAAAACACCAGTGTCCCAGCCCCACCTCGGACCTAGGAAACCATACTCTCTGGGGTCAAGGCTTAGGTATTTATGCTTTGGTTTTTTAAATTTTTTTAATCAAACATACAACCTAGAACCACAGCACAAAGTAAAACAAACGTGCCCTAAGTGTCTGCCTCTCTGCACTGGTGCTGTGCCAGGTGCACCCCCGATGAGCTCTTCTTATCCTTATTTTAGGGAAGCAGGAGCTGGCGCTTCTGGGAAGGTGAGTAACTCACTCTAACTCACAAAGCCAAGGAGTGGCAGGGCTAGGATTTAAACAGACATTTCAAGCTCAATCCCATACTCTGCCTTGTTAGATCTATAACTGTGTTGTGCTTTTCAATACTGCTCAATTAAATCAGTCTTATGATAGATGAGAGACTTGATAATGAGTCTTTATCCCACACCAAGCAATGTTTGAGCCAGAGCCATTAGGCAGGGAAAAGAAATCAAGAGGATATAAATCGGACAGGAGGAAGTCAAACTATCTGTGTTTTCAGATCACATGGTCCTCTATATAGAGGAGCTAAAAACTCCATTAAGAGACTGTTAGAACTCCTAAGAGAATTTGGCAAAGGTGCAGGATATAAAATCAACACATGGAAACCAATAGCATACTTATACAACAGCGTTCTGGCTGAGAAAGAACTTTTAAGATCAACCCCACAGCAACAAAAAAATTTAAATACCTTGGGATAAATTAAACAAGGATGTGAAAGATCTTTACAGTGAAAATTAGAAAAGATCAATGAAAGAAATAGAAAAAGACACACAAAAAATGGAAAAATCTTCCATGTTCATGGATTTGAAGAATTAATACCATCCAAATGTTCATACTATCCAAAGTCATTCATGGATTCAATGTGACCCTAATCAAAATTCTAGGGACATTCTTCACAGAACTACAAAAAGTTTCATATACTTTATAAGATAGACATGAAGTCATTTCATTCTGACAACAATTTTTTAAATTTATTTATTTATTGGAAAGGTAGAGTTACAGAGATAGAGATGGAGAGAGAGAGAGGGAGAGAGAGAGAGAGAGTCTCCCATTCACTGGTTCACTCCCCAAATGGCTGCAATGGCTGGGGCTAGGCCAGGCTGAAGCCAGGATCCAGGAGTTTCTTCTGGGCCTCACATGTGGGTGTAGGGGCCCAAGCACTTGAACCATCTTCTGCTGCTTCCCCAGGCACAATAGCAGAGAGCTGGATCAGAAGTGGAGCAGCCTCGTCATGAACCAGAACCCATATGGGATGCTGGTGCTGCAGGTGGCAGCTTTTCCAGTTATACCACAGTGCCAGCCCTGGCAACAATCTTGTAAAGAAGGTGGAGATGTGATTATTCCCATTTTACAGATGAGAATATCAAAGAGAGAGAGAGAGAGAAATAGAGAGGCAGAGACACACATACACAGAGATCTCTTATCCAATGATTCACTCTCCAAATGCCTGAAACATCCAGGATGGTATCAAGCTGGAGTCTGGACCCAGGAACTCCATCGGGGTCTCCTATGTGGGTGGCAGGGGCCCAACTTGGGCCTTCATCTCCTGCCTTCCCAGATGCATTAGCAGGGAGCTGGATCAGACATGGAGCAGCCAGGGTAGGTTGGGGGTGTCCCCACCCACGGGGCCACAATGCCCATGCTCGGTGATGGAAGTTTTGACACTGCTCCTGGAGGCTTTTTGCTGGGAGGCGGTGCTGGTGTATACTGGGTGGCAAAAAGGTTTTCTGTTAAGCCTGAAGTCACAATCACCTTTCACTCCTTTCCATTCCCCTCCCTCCCCCAGCCTCTGCCTTTGGCTGCAGGGGACCAAATGCTCCCTCCCACCCCCCGCATTCATCAGCTTTGTGCTTTTTTCCATCTCACACTTCTTTCATCATGGATGTCTTCCTGCCTCGCCCCGCGCTCAGTAAATTAAAAACATGAAGCAGCACAACAGCGAAAGTGCAAGGGCACTGGCGATGAGCATGCCCGGGGCTGCATTCTATGGAGAAGAAAAGGGCATTGTGAAAGGGCACACGGGATTGGGCCATTCATCAAGGCGGCTGGCCCCGAGTGCGCGGGCTACCTCGCTAGGATGTCAGGGTGCGGGGGGCTTTGTGTTGGAAACTCATGTTTCTCATAAAGGTGATTCAGCTGCCACCTTGCCAGCCTCGACAGCCTTCCAGATTTGCTGTCATGGGATGGTGGGAAAGGCAAGTATGGACTGCCTGCTGTCTCCAGGGGCTCCCTGCTCCCCCGGGCCAGCAGCCTATGCAGGGTACTGATCTGGTGCTAAGAGCCACCCAGGAACCACAGAGAGCAAAGACAGGAAACACTGCTCTGTGGCAGCGTCATGGAGCACTTGCTGATTTTTCCAGCTTCATTCCCTGCCTGACAAGCCCATGAACCTATTGAGTTCCACCACGCTCATGACCTTGGTGGTCTCCAAACAGCCTGCAGATGCTTCCACGGCTTGGCCTATGTTCTTCCTGAGGCCTGGAATGCCTTTCACCCTCTTCTTCACCTTGTGAGTGCCCTGCCATCTTCTGAAAGCAGTTTTGTTTATTTTCATTTTATTTGAGAGGGAGAGAAGAACGAGAAGGATAGAGAGCTCCCATCTGCTGGTTCTCTTCTCAAATGCTCCCAACAGCTAGGGCTGAGCCAGGCTGAAGTCAGGAAGCTGGAACTCCATCTGGGTCTCCCCTGTGGGTGGCAGGGATC